TCAGAGGATGGAGGCAAAGATGAGGTTATCCTGAGTATTTGCGAAGGCAATATCTAGGGAATTCAGTTCGTGAAGGGTAGGAGGGCTGGTCTGGTGTTTCTGCCCCAGCAGTCTTTCCCCACCCCTACCCCAGGTTATCATCAGCCCGTGGGGAGGCCTGTAGCAGGAAACCCCTCTCCGAATCCATGAGTACACACTGGATTAAACATATGAAGGGGGTTAGCGGCGGGGATTGACAGGAGACCTCAGACCAGAACTTTCTGGGGTGTGCTGGAAACCAAGGGTAAGGAAAAAATAAGGCCAGGGCTGTAGGTCCCTACCAGAGGCCTCTCCCATCTAATGTTTGCTAGGTAAAAATTAACATATAATTTGTTATCCAAATCCATACAGTTCTGAGATTGAAAGGAAGGCGGGTGCCATTAACAATTATGCCTGGACAACGGGCATAAACCCAGACTGTCCTGAAAAACCTGGTCCTCTGGTCACCCTACCTATATAGGACTGCACTACCCAATAAGTAGAGGGTCATGGGGTCGTAGGCAGGGCAGGAGGACTTCGGTCATGTGGGGGGCTGTGGGAGGGCGGCTCACTTATTCTTGAAGTCCTCCACCAGGCCCTGCATGTTGCCAAGCTCCACCTCCAGCTTCAGCTTCTCCTGGCCCAGGGTGTCCAGCTGCCGCCGAAGGTTGTTGATGTAACTCTCGAACATGTTGTCCATGTTGCTCCGAGCGGTTTTCTGTTGCTGCAGGAGGTTCCACTTGGTCTCCAGAACCTTGTTCTGCTGCTCCAGGTGCCGCACCTACATAAGGGAGGAGGGAGCAAGAAGATCCACCTCAGGCCATCAGGTGCAGTATGTGTGTGGGGGGGGGGGGTAGTGAGCACTGTCTTTTCCTCTAACCCACTTCCCAGGCAGTGGTGAGGGGGTCTCCAGAACCCAGAGAGCCCGTTAGCTGTTCTGGGAGAATCACCAATGACCCGAAAGAGACAGCACAGTGAGTGGAGTAGGGAGCCATGTCCCTCTAGTGCTGGGGTGGGGGGAAGTGGGGAAGACAAGCAATTGCATGGCTGGAAGGGATCGGCTAGGGGAGTTACGTTGAAACCATACTTGTAAAACCAATGGGTCCTCTTTACTTAGACTGCATATTACAAATCAGTAAGAATAGCCAAGTTTTGATTACTACTTTATGAAAGATTGAAATGTATGCATGTAAGAAATCTAATCACTCATATGAAATATTACCATCATCATCATTATTATTCAGAGTGGCTTTGAGGGACTCCTACAGATTACAGAGAAACTTGAGCCCTTCAGCCTGGAGAATACTGGTCAGAAGACCTAGGTTTTAGCCAGACACTGCTACTAACCTGGGCTGCGCAACAGGTGCTTCCCTTCTCTGAGCCTGGGTGTCCCCAACCCTATGGCGACCTAGAGAGGCCCAGACAGCAGGGGCCAGTCTCTGTGTAGATGTCACTTAGAGTTGGGAAAGAGGCAAGAGACGAGGCAAACTCAACAACCCCGTCCCCACGGCACTCCCTTTGAGAATTCTCCAGCATCACAGAAGTCTTCCACTACCCCACCCCTGAATCACCAGCCCTCTCCTCCTGCCCCAAACACAAAGGTTCTGGGTTCCCTGGGCTCAAGGGATCCAGATTTTAGGATGAAACCAGGGCATATCAGAAAGGAAATTTTTTTTTATATAAGACTTTATTTTTTACATAATGTCTACACCCAACATGGGGCTTGAACTCACAACTCCAAGATCATGAATCACGTACTCCACTCACTGAGCCGGCTGGGCGCCCCAGAAAGGAAATTTTTAAAAGAAATAATAATAGACGGGTCCCATAAGCAAGAATGCGTTTTTTCCTAATCAACCCAAAGTCGTCACTTTTTTTTTTCTTAATTGAGGGGACTTAAAAGAGGAGGCGGTCTTAAGGGTCTGATCTAGAACCAACAAATTCTTCTCTAGAAATCCTTTTCTTCCCCACGTCATTCAGCCCCCAAATTACAAAAAGTACACGATTTTAACATTTAGCCTTGGTGTGCCTGGGTGGCTCAGTTGGTTAAGTGTCCAACTTTAGTTCAGGTCATGATCCCATGGTTTGTGAGTTCGAGCCCCACATCAGTTGAGTTCGAGCCCCACGTCAGGCTGTGCACTGATGGCTGCCTGGAGCCTGCTTCAGATTCGGTGTCTCCTTCTCTCTCTTTCTGCCTTCCTCTGCTCTCTCTCTCAGAAAGTAAATAAACGGCCACCTGGGTGGCTCACTCGATTGGGCGGCCGGCTTCGGCTCAGGTCATGATCTCACGGTTTGTGGGTTCGAGCCCCGTCCAGCTCCGTGCTGACAGCTAGCTCTGAGCTCAAGAGCCTGGAGCCTGTTTCAGATTCTGTGTCTCCCTCTCTCTCTCTGACCCTCCCCTGCTCACGCTGTCTCTCCCAGAAATTTAAAAAAAAAAAAAAAAAAAGGAACTAAACATTTAAAAAACACTATTTAGCCTAAATGGACTACTTAATATGGGCCAAGCAAGGCTAAGCTCTTTACATACATCATATGCTTGAATAGGCAAAACCTCTTTGATTTAGGGATTATCAAGCCCATTTTACAGATGAGATCAGATTTGGCAAGGTAGCCCCATCAAAGTAAAGGGCAGAGTGCTGTGAACCAAGAATTCGGACTCAGAGCCTGTGCTTCACTCCTCACTGTGAGGACCCCGTCGCTAACAAAACGCTGTCAAGGAGTAAAGTCAAGGGTGCTTTATGCCAAGGAGGCAGTGAGCCCGCCACAAACAAGGTAGGGGGATGCCAAATCCCTGGGGGACTCCAATTCCTAAGGGCGTGACTCTGCCCCAGGATTTGTCTCCTTCCCTTCCCACAATGCCTCCAGGAGCCAGTCAGCACGGAGCTGCCCAATCCTCCGGCGCGCTGGGGCCCCAGGCCCCCGGGGCAGCAAACACACCCAGGCTGCAAAACCCGGCCAGGGGCCTGCCGTCGGGGAAAGTGGAGCCAGGTTGGGGCGGAGCCGGGTAGGGAAGAGTGAAAGGGGACAAGGGCCGGGTGGGGAGAGGGGCGTTGGCGGACAGACGCCTTATTTGAAGCCATAAACGACGGGGTTGAACAGGACACGAAACCTGGGCTGGGTATCCAACGCCCACAGACTTTGAATCCCGGATGAGGCTTTCCTGAAGCCGGGAGGCGTCCCCTCACCCCGACCACACCCCCCAGAAACTAAGCTCCCTGGAGCGCCTCCCCCTGATGGAAGGCGTCAGCCCCTCACCCCACCGTGGGGACAAGGCTCTGCCCCGCCCGGCCCCGCCCACCCCGCAGGTTCCCAGGGCAGGGGCCGGGGGATGACTCATCTCGGTGACCCTACACCCCGGCCTTGGGACGCCAAAGGCCTCAATCAATATTTGCCCGTTGAGTCAAGTCACCCGCTTCCTTCTTCCAGAATCCTATAGAACCCTATTTAAATTAAAAAAAAAAAAAAAAAAAGCAGCGGGGCACCTTCAGGGACCCCTCGGGGCAAGGCTGGGGAGACGGTTAACCTGGACGAGGGGCCTCCCGTCCCACCCCACAGCCGAACAGCTAAGGCTCTTCCAGGCCGAAAGCCTCACAGCCCGGTCAGAACTGGACTAGGGGTGAGATGCGTAAGGGAGGAAGCCTCAAGGTTGAGAGTCAGAAACGGCCTCGACCCTCTCCCCATTGCTGCCCCAGCCCAAACCAAAATGCAGGAGAGGACTTAGTCATAGTTGGAAGGGAGAGTTGCTGAGTGGGTGGGGCCCAGCAGGTCGCCAGTGGGGAGTTGGAGATGTGCCCGCAGGCTGGGCGACCAAGAGACTGGCTGGGACCCCTGGCAAGCCCCAGGCACTGCCCGCCACGCCGGAGCGGGTACGGAGGGGTAGCCCTCACCTTGTCGATGAAGGAGGCAAACTTGTTGTTGAGGACCTTGATCTGCTCCTTCTCCTGGGTGCGCACAGCCTGGATGTTGGGGTCCACCTCCAGATTAAGGGGGCTCAGCAGGCTCTGGTTCACTGAGACGGCCGTGATGCCCCCATAACCCCCGGCCCCGCCGTAGCTCCCGATCATACTCATGCTGCTGTTGCCCAGGGCACTCCGGAAGCTGCTGCCGCTGCCCACCCGGGTCAGGCCAGAGCTGATGCGGGAGCCGGGCGCACTAGTGTAGGAGCGGCTGCTGAAGGCCCGGGGGCCGGAGCTGGACACCTTGTAGGTCTTCTGGGTCACCCTGATGGACATGGTGGAGGCTGGAGTGGAGGCTGGAGTGGAGGCTGAAGCGGAGGCGAGTAGGCTGAACCTGACTGAGGTTCAAGAAGGAGCCGAGAAGCTGCTTCTAGGGTGGGAACAGCTGCCCGGGGCTGGCCCTTTATAACAGAGAGCACAGCCCAAGGGGAGGGAGATCAGCCTGGTACCTGAGTGGCTAGGCCCTGAGGGGGCTGGGCCTAACCCGACACCTGCCACCTACAGGCCGGACTCAGGTGGGGGCAGCAGAGAGCTGCTCCTACCCAGGAGCCCACTCTAGCACTGCCCCAAAAGCTCAGAAAAGAGGGATTCCGGAAGTGTAAAACTGGGGAGACCCGCGGCCCTTGCGCGAGCCCCCTTTAACAGAGAGACTTGCTTGGGGCCACCCAGCCACTGCGGCCCTACTCTGGGTCTCATCTCCTTCCCTCCTTGGAGAAATAGATGCAAGAACTGGGAAGAGTAGCAGGAAAGGGGTCCCTGAGCTGCCGACACCCCAAAGACACCTCATGTTCTTCTCTACACTTTGAGTGATTATGAAGCTCTGCCCAGACTGGAGGACAGGTCCTCTAGGTTCCACATCCTTGAACTTGAGGCCAGCCATCTGCCTGGTCTCTCCTCAGTTACTTTTTTTTTTTTTTTTTTTATTCACTTTTGAGAGACAGAGACAGAGTGCCAGCAGGGGAGGTGCAGAGAGAGAGGGAGACACAGAATCCAAGGCAGGCTCCAGGCTCCGAGCTGTCAGCTTAGAGCCCAACGCGGGGCTCGAACCCACGAACCTGAGCCGAAGTCAGACGCTTAACCAACTTAGCCACCCAGGCGCCAAGGGGCGCCTCTCCTCAGTTATTTTTTTTCAAAAATTTTTTTAAGTTTATTTATTTTGAAAGAGAGAGTGAGCAGGGAAGAGGCAGAGAGAGAGAGGGAGAGAGAGAATCACAAGCAGGCTCTAACATGATCAGTGCAGAGCCTGATGCAGGGCTTGATACCATGAACCTCAAGATCATGACTTGAGCTGAAACCAAGAGTTAGACGTTTAACCGACTGAGCCGCCCAGGCGCCCCTCCTCAGGTATAGTGCCAAGAGGTGCTGGGTAAATAATTGTGGAATGAATGAATACACATACACACTGGTTGGCTTCCCTCTGGGTCCTTAGGTACAAGATAACGTGAGATCTAACAGAGCACTTTTCCAGTACACAACCTAGTGCCTTCCTCTCCTCCCAAGATCCCAGGATTCCCTGGGGCCAAGCTGAACACTGTAAGCCTTACTAAAGGGCACAGGAACGGTGGCAGGACCCTGTGGGGTGGGGTGGCGTGGGGGGCGCTGATGGTGAGTCAAGCTGTAGCCACCTGGCCCCTCTTTCTCTTCCCAGGCCAGAGGAGATGGGAAGGAGTCCCTGCACCTGTCTCCCTGAACCCATTATCAGAATGAGTCAGGATAGCAAGTTGGGGCAGGGCGGGCACGCACCTGCAGAACGCTGGAGAATGGGGAGCTGTGCACGGCACCCCAGGCCTGGGCGGGCCGGGCAGGGCAGGCTGTAGGTGTAAGGCAGGAGGTTTGAGTCCCTGAGGCAGAGATTCTAGCTGCAATTAAGGGATGACTGGGACTAGATTCTCGGAAAGTTCCTGCAGGGCATGAAGTGGGGACTGGGTGACATCCAACTTGATGCCAGACACCTGAGTCCGTTGGAGGAGAGGGGACGAGCAGCACACGCCCCCCCCCCCGAGAAAAGGGGGTGACAGTGACTGCCCACCTGCCAGGAGGCCAGATATACAGGTTCCTCCTCATCCTTAAGCAGACACACTCAGGCTTCCAGAAGGACAGACACATAGGCCCCTACCCAGAGGGACAGAAAGACGCAGAAGCCCACCTTTTGGGGACGGACATAAATACAAAAAGAAAGACACACAGAAGAACTCCACTCAGACTAAACACACACTCGGATACAGGCAAAACTACACACTTGTAAGTCCCTTCCAGAAAGACAAGTCAGAGACTCCCAGAGGGGACACAGAGACCACATTCCTTTCTCCCCTCCCCTCTTTTCTCCTCTCCTCCCCACTCTCCCCAGGCCTCCTGAGGTGCTGAACCAGCACAGGGAAATCCAGTTAGTGCCTGTTTGCACCAGGCCTTCTCCCAGCCCCATCAAACAAGACTTCATTTCCAAAGAGTGAATTGAATGCAGCCCCCTCCCCCCCAAACAAACACCCACACTAGCAAGGCAGAGAGATTTCTCCTTCCAGAGACCAAAGGGAGGGCCTGTGGGCTCAGGGCCAAAACCGCGGATAGAGAGCTGAGCCGGAAAGAGAGAAGGAGGGGCTGGTCCAACAGGTATGGCAGCCCTGGGAAGGGAGGACACCAGGTCCCCACTTCTCCCCCCCCAACACTGTTATCAGGTAGACCAGGGAGACTGGGGGCGGGGGGGGGGATGGAGGGGGGAAGGGGGGACAGTGGGGGCAGGGAATGATCATACGTGAAGTCCTGAGCACAAAAGAACTACCCAGAGCCAGTCCTGACGTCTCAGACCCTCCGCCTCCACCTACCTGGCTTTCTGGTTCCAGAAGTGCCTTTTGTTTAAGGGAAAGACAAAGGGGGCTGCAAGGAACTCTGTGGTTTTCAGGCTGTAGAGCCAGCCCAGATCTCACCCGGGGTGGGGGGGGGGGGGCCTCTTTCCTGAACTATCCTGGGCTAGAAGTATGTGCACCTCATCTGTCAGAGACCCCAGCCAACCCCTCCCCTGATGCCCCAAGCCAGCCTCCGTGCAAGAGAAGGCCTGAGCTGCCCTCTCCACCGCCCCTGCCTGGGATTCAGAAGGGAAAGGCCCCGGGATTGGGGCCAGGTGGTGAGAGAAGAGAAAACAAGCCTGGGGCAGCCCCAGGCCCAACTCCTTGTAAGGCCGTCTCTGGCCACTGCGGTCTGCCCAGCAAAAGGGAAAGTGTTTGTAATGACTGTGCCCGACTCTGCCCCAAACTGCTTTTCCTGGAGAACAGAAGGAGGAAAGAGGAGCCGGATGGCATAGCGCAGAATGACCCCAGGAGGCCCTGAGCCATGGGCTGCTGTGTCAGGCTGGGGGCAGAGGTGGGCGGGCAGGGGAGTCGCTACCATCACATCACTTGAAAGCATCAGGAAAGATGGTCTGCACAGAGTTCCTCTCTGTGATCAGGACAGAGGACACAAGATACCCCATTCACAGCAGCATTATCCGTAATAGCCAAAAGGGAAACAACCCAAATGCCCAACTGATGAATGAATGGATAAGCAAAATGTGATATGGCCACCTGATAAAACATCATTCACAATGAGGAGGAATGAAGTTGTGATATGTGCGACAGTGTGGATGAAAACACTGCTGAGTGAAGGAGGCCAGTCACAAAGGCCACATATTGCAGGATTCTATTTATGTGCAATGTCCAGAATAGGAAAATCCATAGACACAGAAAATCTGTGTATGGTTGCTGGGCCACCTCCAGCCGGTGGCAAGTGGAGGTAATTGCTAAAGAATAAAGGTAGTCTTGGCGCACCTGGGTGATTCAGTCGGTTGAATGTCCAACTTTGGCTCAGGTCATGACCTCACAGTTCCCAGGTCTATGGGTTCGAGCCCTACATCAGGCTTTGCACTGACAGCACGGAACCTGCTTCAGATTCTGTCTCCCTCTCTCTCAGCCCCTCCCCTGCTTACTCTCTCTCTCTCTCTCTCTCTCTCTCTCTCAAAAAGAAATAAACATTAAAGAATAAAGGTATTCTTTTGGAAGAGATGAAAATATTTCAAATTTGATTATGGTGATGGTTACACAATGCTAAAAACTATTGAATTATATACTTGTTTTAACTTTTTTTAACGTTTTTATTTTTTATTGAGAGACAGGGCATGAGCACGGGAGGGGCAGAGAGAAGGGGAGACAAAGAATCTGAAGGAGGCTCCAGGCTCTGAGCTATCAGCACAGAGCCAGACGCCGGGCTCGAACTCAACGAACCATGAGATTGTGACCTGAGCTGAAGTCACAATCGGACCTTAACCGACTGAGCCACCCAGGCGTCCCTTGAATTGTATACTTTAAATGGTTGACTTGTGTGGTGTGTGAATTATAAGTCAATAAAGCTGTTAGCCAAAAGGGTCACAGAAGCACAAATTAGCCACATATATAAAGCAGAGACTAGTGGGCCAGCATAGGGATGGGTGACAGGAGGGAAGATTTTGTTTAGATGCCAAAAGTAAACAGGTTCCCTACCTCTACATTGGTAACCAAGGCCGTGTTACCAAAGCACCGAAATCATTTTAAAAGATGGGCAATTTAAAATCTTGATGTTGGTACAAAAAGAGTTTAGCTCGCAGGCAGCAAGAACAATTCGTTTAAGTAGGAAGCCACAGATGTTGGGAACACCCATCAGGAAGCCAAATCATGAATAATAAAGTTGATTTTACGGTTGATTTTTTTTGTGCCGTGTGCCTCGGGGCCAAAACTGTTAAACTGTTCACACCGTCAATGTTCACTAAGTGGTGACTGATTAAAACCAGAATGAGAATAGAGTGCCTAGCAGGCAGCAAGCTCCTCTCCTGAGAAGTACTGAGACAAAGGCTCGCTGTGGGAGAATTCCTAGGTCAAGTAAGGGCTTGGACTAGAACTTGCAAATCCTCCCCACTCTGAGCCTTTGATCCATGTCCCACCACCATAGAGCTTTACACATAGATGATTAGACATCCACAAATATTCTCTGAACTGAAATTTTGATCTTGATAGGAGATGTGATTAGAAGTCATTAGGGGGCTCCTGGGTGGCTCAGTCAGTTGAGAGTCTGACTTTGGCTCAGGTCATGATCTCGAGGTGCATGGGCTTGAGCTCTGCATCAGGCTTGCTGCTCTCAGCACAGAGCCTACTTTGGAACTTCTGTCCCCCCTCCCTGTGTCCCTCCCCCACTCACACTCTTTCTCTCAAAATCAAATGAAACATTAAAAAAGATTTTTTAGGGACACCTGTGTGGCTCAGCCAGTAAAGCGTCCGACTTCAGCTCGGCTCATGATCTCACAGTTTGTGAGGTCAAGCCCCACATCGGGCTCTATGCTGACAGCTTGGAGCCTGGAGCCTGCTTCAGATTCTGTGTCTCCCTCTCTCTCTCTCTGCCCCTCCCGTGCTCTCTCTCACTCTCCAAAAAATAAATTTTTTTAACATTTATTTATTTTTGAGAGACAGAGAGAAGCAGAGCACAAGTGCGGGAGGGGCAGAGAGAGAATGAGACACAGAATCCGAAGCAGGCTCCAGGCTCCGAAGTGACAGCACGGAGCCCGACGCGCGGCTCAAACCCACGAACCGCGAGATCACGACCTGAGCTGAAGTCAGACACTTAACTGACTGAGCCACCCGGGCACCCCAAAGAAAATTTTGTTAAGATTTTAAAAAATAAGTTATTAGAACAAGTAAGGGAAGAAGGGCAGCAAGGTAAGCCTCACTGCAGAGGAAAAGACACACGATTTCGTGTTCAAGGAGAAAAATTTCTCTTTACACTTCAAGATTCTTCTGACTGGTCTAAGAATTAAACTGACAGGAGACAGATTAACAGGAGAAATCAAATTTAATTATGCAGGATGAATCCTCATAAACATGCAAGATTCCAGAGACAGTTGGGCAAAATGAGGTGTATATGTCATCCTGAACTAAGGAGAAGGCTATAGAGTCTGGGACTTCAAAGGGAAGGAAAGCAATTCACAGGAAGGTGGAAAAGAGTAAATGTTTGGTAAATAAATGTTAGCAGGACCATAAAGAAACAATGGGACACAGAGAGGAATTTTAACAGACATTGCTAAGTTTCTCTTGTCTACCACCCC